ACATTTTATCACATGAATCCACAAATGGAATTCTCCCTGTGTAGTATCTAACCTGGTACCAATCAGTAAGTCCACCCCTAGTGTGTTTTCAGCAACTGGGGAAACACAAACATCATAGGGACACAGGGGTAAACACCCAAAGCCCAAGTCTCCTTGCCCTTCCAGACCACAGTATAGTGATCTCTATACCCTTCTATGTGTGTAGTGGGTCCTGTGAAACAGTCTGGGTTGCCGTAGATCAGCATTGACTCAGCTGTGCTATCCACCAATGCACACACTGCACATTTTTCGGGGACCAACAAATAGTTAATTTCACCTGTAGACTGCAGTCTCCTGGTGTCCCTAGCAACCAGGTACCTTGGCCTGTCTCCTAGTTTGGGTAAAATGCCACCAGCCTCAGCTCATCTTGCTACATGGGGCTGCCTTTCCCTTTGGGTCCATGGGCCAGTATTGGCGGTCAGGGCACAACTGCTTTCACAAAGGCAGCAACACAACTAAGGGCTGCTCCTCCAGCTTCTCTGCATCTAAGCCAGCTGCTAACAGAACTGCCCAGATATGGCATTGACTTACCTTCAAAGGACCAAGCACCTGCCCCTATAGGTTTGGTCTTGATCTCCCAAGGCTGCTTGTTTTTTCTCCTTTGGCGGCTTGATTTTTATTGGTCTCACCTTACCTTAGTGCTTCACTTCTGTGTTGCCAAGATGCACCAAGGTATCCACTGCATCATGAATCGGATGATATCGAAAAGGAGCTAGTAGGGATGCCACTATTGTGCCAAATGTGCCAGCTGGGCTGCTGGCCAGGACTAGATCTTTCACATGTGCTGCGAGCAACTCTTCATCAGGGATACTATAGCAAGCAGCAAATATCATCTGCTACATGCCAATTTCGTGCAGCACACCTACCAAGTCCAGATAGCTTGTCCATTTTGTTTGGGTTTAGTCAAAGCATGCAGACTGCTCGTCATTAGCCAATTTAGTTACCTGCTCCTCAGGCCAGCCTCTATGCACCCTGAAAAATGTGGTGCATGAGAGAGTATGGGCTATGCTGGCTAATTGAGCTATTTTCCATGGGTTTACTTCTATGTTGTCAGCTCCTTCATTCCAGAGTAGTAGCAGTCATGCAGGCACTGTCTCACCCACTCTTTTCTTCAATTGTTTTGTTTATTCCTGCAGCTCCATAGCTGAGTAGGTTTTATAAGTCATGTGGCAGGTAGAACTAAGTGAACTCCCTAAGCCTCCCTCTTGGATCAAGGGCTATTCTACTTCCACCCTTTCTTGGACAGTGGATCATGCCTGGAATACCAGGGGGCTCTACTGGTGCATGAGACTTAGCCCTTTAACTTCCTTCAGCATGGCCTCGACAGCTGCCATGCATTACTCCCAGCTATCTTTGATTCACTGCAATTAGTCCACCAGCTGGACAAGGCCTTCTGCCTCCTGTTTCACACAGTAAAAGAGACTGAAAAACAACCAAGTTATCCTCCTGCTGAGTCACTGTGAGGGACAGGAATGTGTGTCTCCAGCATTTCCAAGGCCCGTATGATCTCTAGGTGTCAGATGGATTGCCTCCCAGTTCTAGGGAGATTTCCAACCTGCTAAGAAAATTGCTACTTTTTTACTTCTGCAAATGCTTCATGGAAACACTCACCTGACCATGTTGTGTTGGACTATGCCATGCGTCAGGGCCAGTAGGCTGAAGAGGGGCCTGGTCAGAAGAGATCCCCAAGGAAAAGAATGCACATGGAGCAGATATCACAAGAAAGCAGGAACCAAAATTTAATTTTACAGCATACCACTTATAGTGGCTGCTATCAGTTTTTCTGAGACATAGTAAGACAAAACAGCCACCCAACCTTGCACAGCCATGTGGTATTTGCATGGTCGTCCATGCTGATTCATTATTATTATAATAAAGTTTCTCTTGCACCTGTGCCAAATGATACAGTTGTGACCTCAGGTGCCCTCAAGCACCCTCAGATGCCCAGGCTTTGACACATCTGTTAGCAGACCCCTACATTGTGAGCATACAAAAGTAGATCTATCCTTGTTCTTAAAAAATTTTCAGGGTTTTAAAAAAAATGATTTCCCTTTCTACTGCCTTGAACAAAGCACAAAAGTTTTTATTATCAGAGTAAATGTATCGCCCCTCAAGACCTTAGCCTTATTCCCAGTTTGTGTGTGTGTGTGTGTGTGTGTGTGTGTGTGTGTGTGTGTGTGTGTGTGTGCACATGCTATTGGGGATCAAACTCAGGACCTTATGCTTGTGAGGCAGGTGCAGCGCCACTGAGCCTAATCCTCAACCCCCCCCCCAGTTTGTAATGAACCAGTAATATCAATCTGTACTCACTCGTCAGGATGATAAATGAGCCTTAGGACAAGGGGGAATTAACATGGGACTCTGGTGGCATTTAGGAAACAAGCTGGTCCTTCCTCAACAGACATAGTGGAAAGCTATAAAAACTCTATGATTCTTTCCATAAGGGAAGAGATTTTTACATGGAAAATGATCACTTGAATTTTCACAGGACTAAGACTAGCAGCAACCTCCTGACAGGTCTGCCAAGCTTGGCCACTCTGAGTCTACAATAACCTTGGCAAACCCAAACCACCTACTTTGTTAGAACCTGTACAGAGTAGGGGACATACCTTGGGGAGGACAGGCAATTAGATTTGACTCACATGCCACCATTAGGACAGATATTGGTCCTAATTGACGATTTTATGGGTTGGATTGAGTCCTTTCTTACTCATTCAGAAAAGACTATAGAGGTAGTCTACTTGCTCCTCAAAGAAATCATTCTCCAGTCCCTTCAGAGTGACAATGAACTTTTTCCCCCTCCCAAATAACTCAGAGTGTAGCAAAGGCTTTAGGAAAAAAGTACCACCTCCATTCTACATGGAGACCTCAGTCTTCTGGAAAGGTCAAGAAAACCATCCAGACCCTAAAGCCATGTCTGGCAAACTTTTGCCAGGAAGCATCTGAGTCCTGGCTGCAATTACTGGCAATATCCCTCATGAGGGTTTGAAACTCCCCAAAAAACTGGGCTAAATATGAGTCCATTTATGACATTATATGGGAGGCCATTTCTATCCAGAGATCCAGAGACCACAAGACTCTTACAATATTTTATTACTCCAGGTCAAGAAAAACAAACTATCCAACTGTATAGGAACAGTCCCACTAGCTCCTGGCCAAGGGGGTCTGCCCTGGAGGCCAAGTTCTCACTAAAACTTGGAAAGAAGGGCCACCTGCAGGCCAATTAAGACCAAAAGGAAAGGGGTCACCTTTGTAGGCTAAAGCCAACTCCACTTGACCTGTCTGAAGAAAAGACCACTCAAAAGGAAAAAGCTATTTCTGCAAACCCCTGGAATCCCTGAGATTCAGCTTCAAAATGCAAGATGCTCTAGATAAGTAAACAGGACCTTGCTAAGGCCATGACTCTTGGGCTCCCCATAATTTAATTGACATCTCTCTTTGACATACTCTTTTCCAAAGAAAGTATGGAAATCTGACCTATTTCTCACATTTGGGCTGTACATCCCCAATTTAATAGTGTTTCTCCCACCAGACAGCTCAATAGTGCTAATTCTTTTTCTCATTGTCTTCTAGGTGGTTTTTCCCCCTCTTCAACCCAGGCAGTGAGCCACAAAACCTCAAGACAGTAGAGACCACATAATCTCAGTACGTAGGATCTATACCCATTCCAGTCAGAAGTAGCTATATGAACACAGAGCCCTTCACTCCCTCAGCACCCCATAAAAAATTAAGGGGATAACCAATTATGGACTGAAACTGCTACAAACTGTGAGCTAAGTAACCTTCTCTCTCTCTCTCTCTCTCGCTGTCTCTCTCTCTCTCTGTCTCTCTCTCTCTCTGTCTCTCTCTCTCTCTCTCTCTCTCTCTCTCTCTCTC